GCCACAGCACCAGCAAGAGCTTTCTGGGCAAGTGAGGCTTCAGCAGCTCCCACTCCAGGGAAAGGTCCCCATCCATCCCTTTCCCTGCTCCAGCAGATGCAGTTCTTGGGCAGCAGAAGGTCCTGGGAACCACTTGGAATTGGGATGGTCTGCACTTGCAGAACAAAACCCTGCTGGGGAAGTTCTTTGGCACTGGCTTCTCCATGGGCCAACTTGTGGTGTTGGCACAGCTGCCTCCCAGTGCTGGTCCCTCCCTGAGAGCTCTTCCCACCAGGAGAGCCAAGGATAACCAGGAAAGGGAGCCATCAGTGGCTTAAAACACATCAGTGACAAAACCCAGAGTAACGGGAGGGAAATTAGGATGCTGTTTGTCAGGACTGATTGGGCATTGCAGGGGGCATGGGGAGACTCCGGGGGGGATGCCTGTGTGTCCTTGGGGAGACATGGGCAGAAGGACCAGGGAGGAAGGAGAAGGAGGAGGAGAAGGAGGAGGAGAAGGACAGGCTGGTTTTAACCCTGAGGAGCAAAGTGGTTGGTGTGTCCTGGGCAGGGGGCAGGGCAACCACCATGCCCTGCCAGCCTGGGGCTGGTGCTGGGCTCGGGCACAGAGCCAGGGCAGGATGGACCCACCCAGGACCTCAGGGGTTCCCAGGCAGGGAAGCAGCTCCTGGGGACACACGGGCTGCTGGAGGGTTTGTGTGGGCTGGAGTAGAGTCTGCGTGTGATGTGGGATTGGGATATGGGATTGGGACACTGGACTGGGACATGGGATGGTGATATGAGATGGTCGTATGGGACTGTTATATGGCATTGTGATTTGGGACTGTGAGATGGGATTTTGATATGGGATTGTGACACAGGGTTGTGACTGTGATGTGGGATTGTGACATGGGATTGTGATTTTGAGACTGTGGTTTGGGACTGTGATATGGCATTGGCATTGGGATTTGGGATTGTGATATGGCATTGGCATTGGGATTTGGGATTGTGATATGGGAGTGGGATTTGGGATTGTGATATGGGAGTGGGATTTGGGATTGTGATTTGGGATCGGGATTGTGAAATGAGATTGGGATTTGGGATTCAGATTGTAATATCAGATTGGGATTTGGGATTGGGATTATGATCTGGGATTGTGATGTAGGATGGGGACCTGACTTTTTGATACAGGATCAGGATTGTGATCCAGGATTTGTGATATGTGATTGTGATCCAAATTTCTCCAGGCACACGTGATCCAGGCTGGAGGGACACAGGAGGCAGGACATCGTGTCCCAGCCAGGATCAGCAGGAAAGCCCTGCTCACCCCAGAGAGCCCCTCACACCCCCAGGGCCACCCCTCACCCTTCCTGGCACCCAGCTGCAAAAAAGAAAACAGCTCTCATTTATATCCTGATTTTTTTAAAGACCTGTATGGGAGGGGAGGGGACTTATCCCCAAAAATCTCCTGCAAAGCTGCAGGGGATGGTGTGTGTTCCAGGAGCATGTGTTGGAAAGGGTTTAACCGGGGCGAGGCTGCTCTGCTGCCTCAGGGAGCTGCTGGAGATACAGCCTGTTCCCACTCACTTCAGGGGTATTTATAGATACAGATGTTTCTCGAGCAGCAGGGTTCACGATGGAGTTTTTAAATGTTTTTTTTAAGTTTTTCTTTCACTCCCTGTCTCCCTTCCCATCCCTCCTTTGCTCTTCAAAGCAACGCAGAGACAGCAGTGGGGAGGCAGAGGAGTCCATCCCCGCTCCAGGCTTTCAGAAATAAAGGGTTTAAATGGGTCGAGGTGCCCTCCATATCCCTGCAATGTCCCAGGGGAACGTTTTTGGAAGGCTAAAAGCACCTCCCCGGAGGAGGGCTGGCTCCCAGCAGGGTGGGAGCGGGTGCTGCCTCCGGGCACTGCAGCTGGAGCACCCAAGGGAGTGAGATCAGCGCTGGTTCAGCCACGGAGAGATTCCCCGAGGGCAGGGAGGGGGCTCAGCCTGCCCCTGAACACCCCAAATGTCTCACCCAGCAGCAAACCCCCCGTGCCTGGAGCAGGGGATGCCTGATCCATCCCTGTGCCAAACAAAACGGGGGCTGGCTTGTCCAGGGCTCTTTGCTCCCCACTGCAGCGGGTTTGCTCCCCTCTGAGGGGTCCCTGTGCCCCTTTGCCAGGGCAGGGCTCAGCCCTGGCACTGCCCAACACCACAGGGCCTCACACCCCGCCCGAGGACACCTCGCAGGTGATGCTTCCCCCCATACCCAGCAAGGATTTCACAGCCCAGCTCGCCTCGTTCCTCCTGCAGCTTCACCCCCAGGGGTGCCCAGCATTTCTCACCCCGAGGAAGGCTGGCTGAACGTTTTACGGAGCAGAAAAGCCCCGCTGAAATGAATCCACATCCCAGGGGAAGCAGCGCTGCCTCTGCCCCCGAGCGATATCTTTGGAGGCTGGGCAAGGGCTTTGCTCCACAATTAATTATCCATGCTCTGTGGGCCGGCTGGGAGGCATTAATGGCTCCAGATGCGGATCATGGAGCCCTGCGTGGCACTGTAAACATGCTGGAAGTCCAATTTGGATTTCCCCGGGTGCCTCATTTAAATGAATTATATAAACGCTTTCCCCTCCTCCTTCGAGCAGAAGCCAGTCTGGCTGCTGCCCGATGTGTTAATCCAGGAATAAAGTAAAAAACAAGGGAGGCCAGGCATTGAAGAGAATAAAATGGTGCCGTGGAGCCCCTGGCAGGGCTGGGCAGGGTGGGCAGGGGGTGCTTTGGGGCTGCAGCTGCTCCCACCACCCAGACCTGAGTATTCCCCTTCATATGGTCCTGACCCCCTTGGTGACCCCAGGAGGGTCCCATCCCCACCCCTGGGTGTTTAATTCAGTTTAATTTTGCCACGCAGTCATCACAGTAATTTATGGTGAAGGACTGCTGTGTGACTTTGCCTGGGCCCCCCAATGTCCCTCATTTCCCCCATATTCACCCCTCTGGGGTGGACCCCAGTGAGAGAAATTAAAGCAACTAAAGTCATCGGGGTAGATAATGACAGTGTTAGTGTGTGGGGTCCCAGCATGGTCTGATCCTGCTCTCCAGGCTGGACTCAGGTGTGGGATGGGGAGGGACAGACAGGGAGGGGACCAGCCCAGGGCTGTGTTTTCTGCTGAGCAAGAGGTAGCAGATGTTTGCTGATGAATTATTCACCCAGAAAACTGTCATAGAAACACAGAATGGTTTGGGTTGGAAGGGACCTCAAAGCTCCAGTCCCACCCCCTGCCATGGGCAGGGACACCTCCCACTAGCCCAGGTTGCTCCAAGTCCCATCCAGCCTGGCCTTGGACACTTCCAGGGATCCAGGGGCAGCCACAGCTTCTCTGGGCAACCTGGGCCAGGGCCTCCCCACCCTCACAGCCAACAATTCCTTCCCAATCTCCCATCTAACCCTGCCCTCTGGCAGTAGGAAGCCATTCCCTGTGTCCTGTCCCTCCATCCCTTGTCCCCAGTCCCTCTCCAGCTCTCCTGGAGCCCCTTTAGGCCCTGCCAGGGGCTCTCAGCTCTCCCTGGAGCCTTCTCTTCTCCAGGGGAACCCCCCCAGCTCTCCCAGCCTGGCTCCAGAGCAGAGGGGCTCCAGCCCTGGAGCATCTCCGGGGCCTCCTCTGGACTCTCTCCAGCAGCTCCACGTCCCTGTGCTGTTGTTCCCCAGGGCTGGGGCAGCTCTGAGAGGGGCAGAGGGGTGGAATCCCCTCCCTCAGGCCACTCCAATTCCAAAACAAGGTGGCTGTGGTGTCACAGGCTGACCCGTGCCCATGGATTGACACTGGGTTGAAGCCACAGGGGTGTGGAGGCTGAAGGTGCTGCCTCAGCCAGGACACAGCAGAGACAGCCTGCACCTCTCCACCAGCAGAGCTGGGAGCAACCCTGCTGGATATTCAAATCCCCATCCAGCCTCCTAAAAATGCAGCTGCTGCTGCAGGGCACAGGCACAGCACGGGACATTCCTGTTTGGACGTGACTGTCACCAAAAAAAGGAAGTTTTGAGTCCCTCCCTGACTCTGGGCCAGTTGTTCACTCCCCAGGCTCTCTGTGGCACAGCCTTTGCCATCAGAGCCGGGAAGCCAAGCCCTGGCTGGGGAATCCCAGGGGCAATTCAGGGCAGCTGGAACAGGACACCTCCATGGGACTCTCCCTGCAGCCTCTCCCCAACATGGGCTGAGCTCAGCGGGATGCCCGGCTGGCAGGGAGCTGCTTCCCTCCTCCCTGCCTGCATCCAAGGGGATATCTGAACTCAGGCATGGATTGTCCTTGCTAACAAGCACATGCAGAACAGCCACAACTCTCCATTCCCATGACGAGCCCTGTGAGGGAACTGGGGAGGCTCAGACTGAACTGAGTTCCTCTCATGATTTGCTCAGGCTTTTGGGGAGCTTTTGCCATCAATCCATCTGGGTTTTTTTAAAATTTATTCTCATTAAATTATACAGCCAGGGTTGCCTGTGGTTTGAGCCCCTTGGGGTACCTTGGGTGGATAAACACAGCAGGATGGGACAAACACATCAACCTGCCATGGGGGTGTTTCTCTGCTGAATCCCAAAATCCAGGGATGTCAGGGGCAGCCATAGCAGCACAGCCAGAGCCACCCTGATTGCCCTGCCTCAGTTTCCTCAGTCATTTTGGGGTGTATCTGCCAGGGTTTGAAATGTCTCCTAAAGACAAGAGGGATCATTGTCACTTAAATAAATGATGAATAGGAGGCATGAGGGGAAAATAGGTCTCACAGCGGACCCTGGTGTGATCCAGCCCTTCCAGAACCTCCTCAGCAGGGTGCAGAGCACAGGGTGCAGGACACACAATGCAGGGTGCAGGGTGCAGGACAGAAGGGTGCAGAGCACAGGGTGCAGGACACACGATGCAGGGTGCAGGAGGCAGGACAGAAGGGTGCAGAGCACAGGGTGCAGGACACACGATGCAGGGTGCAGGAGGCAGGACAGAAGGGTGCAGAGCACAGGGTGCAGGACACACGATGCAGGGTGCAGGGTGCAGGACACAAGGGTGCAGAGTGCAGGGTGCAGGACACACGATGCAGGGTGCAGGAGGCAGGACAGAAGGGTGCAGAGCACAGGGTGCAGGACACACGATGCAGGGTG